TGAAGAGATGGCAGCTGTTCAAAGTAGCACAGCCAGTAGTCTCGAATCGACAACGATCTATGTAGCACACTGCATTACCACACTGAATCGGGCTCAGCAGCTGTGACAGAAGTGCTGCGCGCGCGAGCCGAAATTCCATAACACACACGCGACTTTTCGGAGTATCAGTCAAAAAGAGGCACACTGGAGAAATATCCAGACAAGGATCAATGCCCAGCGAAATGTCGCTGCAACTCAGACAAAGGCGCATGCGATCAGCGTAGTTCACACTCTGAAATATCAGTCTTTTCAGCCTTCAGAAAAGCATCTTCAGATCCCTCATCCTCGTTCTCCGCGCCCTGCCTCCGCCTTCCCTTGTCATTCCGAAGCTGCCCTGGACCCAACAGGCACCAGCAGAGCACTGCAGAGAAAGACACGATGCACGGCCAAGGATCGGATCCCTCCGCACACCCCTCCAAGGTGTGCTGTGTTCTAACATGCTGCTCCATTTCCTTGCTTAATACTGCACGATTTGTCAGTGCTGTCGCTGCTGCTGGTCTCTTCGGAACGGGAAGTCCCACAGTAGCAACCGAAATGACCGAGTGACCGCCGCTGCACTTTGCAACGGCAACCATGCGCTAACAGGAAGCATTCTACAAAACACAGCGAGGGGCCAGCAGTAGCGGCCAGATGTGCGAGGATCACTGCACGAGCCCGCACAATATCCCGGCGCACTTGCAAACTTCTATTTAGTGGAATGCCTCTTAAATCGAACGAGTCGCACGGCGGTGGCGCAACGCCAGTTGGTCAGCTACACTGCGATAGACTAAGCAACGCGAGGCATCCAGCAGTTCCCCCGCGCAAGAGCAAAGAAAGCTCGAAATGAGATGTCTGAATGCAGCAGTATATCTACAACCACACAATTCCAGTAGTGGTAGTAACAGCAGAAGCAGCAACAGTGGCAATCAGTTACCAAGTGCTTCCCGCACCCTCTAATTCCTTGAAAGAGACAGAAATCGGTAAAATGATTTTAGCATTATGCAATTCAGCTCCATTAGATCGCGTGTATGTGTGTATCTATGGAACAAATATAGTGAGGGGACAACTGGAAAGGTGGGAGACGCTTCCTTCCTGGTGTCTGATCGACATTTTTTTAATCGATAACGACTTGGGATGAAAAATCCATTTTTCAGTTAGCAGGCCGGAGCTGCAGAAGAGACAGTCGAGGAAGCAGAGAGTAACCAGAGCCGGATGCAAATCTCCGCTTCCAACTTCGAGTGATAAAGCAAGTTCGCTGCTAATATACTAATGCACAGCGCAGGAACGCCTTCCCAAGTGATAACACGCCGGATTTCGGCAGCGTGATCAAAGGGCTCGGAGCATCAGTACAACGAAAAAGAAAGTAAGGGGAACCTTCCAAAGAATGATTGCCATAGAGAGTGACCAAGACCCGGAGAGGGACGACGAAACAGATAGTGTATTCGGGAGATGTATTCCTTTGTGAATGGGCCGCAGCACAGGCACGGATGAATGGAGTAGGTGCAGGACAACTGGCCGGCTGCCTGCCTGGTCCTGCAGGAAAGGCAGCAGGAGCAGTAGTTATCCCCAGCACGTTCCCTTTTTCCCAGCCATTGTTCCAGGGGACGCGCACGCCCGTGCCCACCTCTCTCACGCATTACACAGCAACTAGTTTACACAATGCACCGATTTTCGGATGCTTTTCCAAGCTGAGGCATGCGTAGAATCCTCTCAAGCAAATGAAGTCTCTCCCTTCCACGTCCAAAGAGTGTCTCCAGCCGTCCCGTCAGAAGCACCGTTGTCTACCAAAACGGTTCTGTGGCTGACCGGAAAAGTCTAGAACACAACCAAATTCGCTGCCCATTTGAAAATGCACATTCTCCGTATTCCCTGTGCTGTCATTACTTCAGATTCAACAATATCATCACGATCACCCGAACTGTCGGTGAGGCAACCACATTCGCCGAGCAAAGCTGTTCCTTGTTGATGAGTTGCACTTCGCTACCCGTCCCCTCTAAAACGTGCGTAAGTCATCCCTCGAAGAGCTCGCAGCGTGACAGCTTCTTCCCTCGCAAACTTACACATCAGACAAATTACACTATGGCTTGCAGGCACGATTAAGGCCAATAAAAACTGAAACGTAAAATTTCTGTTTTCTTACTTCCTAAAACCCCCTGTCGGATCATCCAGAACAGCGGACGGGAACAACCACGGGAAGGCATGCGGCCCGAAAATACAAACGAACCAGTGAATGACACTGGCGAATCCGACTCAACGGCTCAAGCAAGCTTTTCGTCACTTGTACGGCATTCGAGCACAGCACATGCAAGAAACAAAAACTTTCCCGAAGAAATCCACCGCCATCGCCCTATTTCTGAATAAACAGTAACACGCACCAGAATAGCTGGTGCGATCATGCTTTTTGTGCAATTTCGACCACCGTACGATTGCCTGTTGATGATTTTCACTGCTTTGTACTTTGGTCTGTGCAAAAATAGTTGAACTGTTGAAAAACAGTTAAAAATTTCACGCACCAGCACATGAAAGTCGAATTTGAAATTTTGAAGAGTGAATACCTTCCAAAATTTCAATCTCCTAATTTTCTGGCTTTCGAATGGTCTTTGAGACAAAACTTTCACGTAGTCATATATGAAACCCAGGCATATTTAGGAACTTAATTTGAGTCTGTGAAGCCTTTCCTTAGGCAGGTAATATTCTCCTAAAATTCCCACCCTTCTAACTCTTCTGGTTCCTGAGATAATGATTTTTCTCGCCAAAACTCCCACAGGCGTTGAAAATTTGCGGAGTTGTACGTAGGCAGGAAATCATTACTCTAAAATTTCGGCTTTTTAGATTCCGTAGTTTCCGAGATAAGAATTTGCCTGCCAAAAAAAA